TGCCCGCTGCATCCCGACCGGGAGAAAGAAGGAACGGGGGACAGGAAAGGGCTCTCTGCTTGGGCCCTTCTCTCTTTGCTGTCACTCTGGGGCTACGAAGCCTCTGGGGTGTGTAGAGGGGACTGCAAAGATGCTCTGCACTGGGGTCCAAGGACCGACTAGCCTGGGTGGGCCTTCCGCACACAGGAGGCCAGGGCCATCTAGACCTGGCCTCACTGGCCAGCGGACAGGCCAGCCCAGCTGTGGGCACAGAGGCCCACCACCGTGCTGGGCTGTGGACCGAAGTCACGGCCTCCACTCTTCCTGACATCAGTGCTGTGAGACGGATGAGTGCTGGTAGAGCTTCCATTTCACTGCTGTGGAAATAGAGGTTTGAAGAGATTGAGCAGTTTGGCCACAGAACAGGGAGAGGCTGGCACACAGCCCAGGCCCACACAAGTCCAGGTCCCACCCTCTTGTCCAGTCTGCCCCATCTGCCCCACCCCACAGTATCCCTGGAGGAGGAGCCCAGGCAGCCCTGGACAAGCGGGACATGAGTGCCAGGGTGGCCAGAAAGGACTCGAAAGCCCCACCCCTCCTGAGAAGCCCCAGCAGCCTGGTCTCTGCTCGAGCAGCCCGACCACATCACAGTCACAGGCTGCTGGGAGGCTGGGAGGGGGACCCACAGCAGCCAGGGACACCCCCACCATGTGCATGTCAGGAAGAAGAGAACAGAAAGGGATTCTAATGCAGAGGAAAAGACTTCTATGCCTGAAACCACAGCTCAATGTAATGCTCTGAGAGGCACAGCCCGGGACACTGAGCTCTGGAACTTTCCACAGCTGGGAGGGAGGACCATGAGGTGAGGGACAGGCCTGGTGCCCTACCTGGAGAGTCGAGTGGGGCTGCCCCTGGCCCTCCCTGCCCAGGGTAGAAAGAAAGCCCCACTGCATGTTGACCTTTAGCCAAAGCTCAGATGCAGGTAGTTTAGAGAAGAAGTGGTACGGCCGTGGGAGTGTGGGACAGCCCCTACACACGTCCACCGGCCTGGGGCCCAAGGCAGCCTCAGGCCTGAGTAACTCCCACAGAGCCATCTGCACCCTGGCCGGCTGCTTGCCCAAGCCTGCCCTCAGTGCAGCGGGCGGTGGAGCTCACGCTGACCCCTGGAGGATGACGAGGCTGGGGAGAGGATCTGGCTGAAAGAACAGTGTGCAGAGTCTCTGAGGCAGGTGCTACAGAGATTTGTGTGACTAGAGAGGCAAAAGTAGAGAAAATGCCATCTGGAAGCGAGACAACGCCAGGTCTCATAGGCTGTTGTCAGAATTTTAGGCATTTTTCTTAATAGAAAGCCATTGGAGGGTTTTAGATGGGGAAGGTGTGCTATGATCAGATATTTTTTTTTTTACTGTGGTAAAACATGCATGAATGTATCATTTTAAGGCCAGAAAGATAGGCAAGAAATATTCAAAGTGATGAAAAGCAGGGACCTATAGCCAAGATTGCTCTACCCAGCAAAGTTATCATTTAGTATTAAAGAGCAGATAAAGCCCTGGCTGGTGTGGCTCAGTGGATTAAGCACTGGCCTGTGAACTAAAGGGTCACTGTTTCGATTCCCAGTCAGGGCACATGCCTGGGTTGCAGGCCAGGTCCCCAGGAGGGGGTGTGCAAGAGGCAACCACACATTGATGTTTCTCTCCTCTTTCTCCCTCCCTTCCCCTGTCTAAAATAAATAAAATATTTTAAAGAAGGGCAGATAAAGAGCTTCCCAGACAAGGAAAAACTAAAGGAGTTCGTCATCACCAAACCAGTATTATATGAAATGTTAAAGGGTCTCCTTTAAGAAGGAGAAGAAGAAAAAAAGACAAAAAATGTGAATAATAAAATGGCAATAAGTGCATATCTATCAACAATTAAATCTAAGAAACGAAACAAACAAGCAGAACAGAAACACTCATAGATACAGAGGACGTTTTGCTCGTTGCCGGGCAGAAACGGGTTTGGGAGGATGGGTGACAGGGAGAAGGGGCTAAGAAGCACAGACTGGTAGTTACAGAGCAGTCCCGGGGGTGGGAGTACGGCACAGGGAACAGAGTCAATAACCTTCTGGTAACCGTGTGTCTATCGGACAAAGAAGAGTGCCGGGGACAGAGGCCTGGCCGAGGGAGAGAAAGCTGCGGAGGGCCTGAGAACTAGTGTGCGCACCCCCGAGAGCCAAAACACGAGAGCCTTTCAGCAAGGAGAGAGTGTCAGCTGTGTCAGATTACTGGTGTGCCCACTGGACGTGGCCACACGAATGTCGTCAGCAACCCTGGCAAGGTCATTCTCTAGAGGCAAGAGGGCTGCCTCTAGAGAGCAGGGAAAGAAGGGTGAGGAGGACAGGTTTTGTGGTTTGAGTGCTTGCTGGGTGCCGTTTTCAGGGACTGAAAACCCTGTAGGGGAACAAAGAACTGGAGATAATCTAGTTGCTCAGTCTTACCCCTCGAGCCTGGGTCAGAAGCCCTCCCTCCTGCCTGTGCACCCACCATTGCCAGGGGCGGGCTGCTCGGAGGTGGGGTCCTGTCCCTCTTCTGGGTGCCTGCACCTAGCACAGGGCCTGGCACACAACAAATACTCAAAAACTGTTACCAGGGCCTGGTTTCCAGAGGACAAATGGCCTCTGCATTTAAGAAGGTGGGCCCAGCCTTGGCAGGTGTGTCTCAGTTGGCTAAAGCGTCGTTCTGCTGATGGGAGTTCTCGGGTCTGATTTCTGGTCAGGACACACACCCAGGCTGCACTCTCCTCAGGTTGCTTGCAGGAAAGCCGACGGTGGCCTGGCGGCATCACCGTGCCCAGGGCAGCCCAGCAGCTGTGCCTCTGACCACTTTGTCTGAGAAGAGTCCCCAGCTGAGAGAGAGTGCTCGTGGTCAGCCGGCCCCGGGGCGAGGAGAACACCCGGGGCCTGAGAACGGACACTGGCTGCTTAATCACACCGCAGGGCGGGTCACCTCATCTGGACCAGGTGACCCAACCCTCCGTCCCCTTTGGAGAGAAGTTTCATGCTTACAGAGTGCCTCCCAATTCTAGGATCCTCTGCCTCCAGTTCCGTTAGAAGGAAGAAGTTCTGAGATTTGCGACCAGCACAGACCGAGGGGAAAGCCGTCTGATTAAATACCCTCATTTGGGCGGAAATGAGTTTCTGAGTGAACAGATGGGAAACCACTCTCATTCCCGCCAGTGAGTCCCCATGGCACCTTGGCAACAGCTCCTAAATAATTTGTTCAAGGAAGCCGCCTGCCTGCAGGGACCTTCCCCTGCTGACAGCTCTCAGCCAAGCTCCCAGAAGTGCGGTCCAGGGAAACAGCCCTGGTGACGGAGGAGAGGCTTAGTCACATGGCGGGGGCGGCAGGGCACGAACACCCGGCTTTGGGGGAGCCCCCTTGTCCTCCGTTCTTCAGTCGTGCGGGGGCAGCTCCTCAGAACACGGCTGGCGCTGGCGACGGGAAAGAACAGGCTGAAGTGCCCGGACAGACGCAGCTCAGGACGCAGCTCGGGAGCTAGTCCCCCTTCATCCAGATCCTGCTGACTTCCGTCCCACAGTGGGGGTGGGAGGGCGGGGTGAGGGGTGCCTAATAGAACCAGGCACCCCTGCTCGGGGTCCAGTCTGGGCCCTCCCCTCAGGATAATGAACAGTATCTGCAACGCACACTTTTGGTGACTGGCCACGGCCCCAGAAGCCCTGCTCTCAATACATTTCACGCGGACCTGAAATCTGCAGAGCTGTCAACTTCTTGAGGGCAGCAAGCAGGTCGTCTGCCGCATAGCATCTAGCTTAGCCACGCAGTAGGTCATCAATAAATAGAGAAGGAGTAGGCCATCAAACTGCAGCACAGTTTCTTGGTCTGCAGCAGGGCCCAGAGGCTGTCCCTCAATGGCAGGGCAAGAGAGAGAGAAAAACCACAGCCAGGTGTGATGTGGGGAAAGGCCTCCCCCCGGAGCCCGCCTCGGCACGCATGCCCGGTGAGAGGCCAAGGATGTCGGGGTGAAGCATTTCAACATGGCAGAGCCCATTCGGTGGGAACCCCTGGGCATCCGGCAATGTGGAAACACCTTTATTTGGGGCTGATGGTCTACACACTTGGGAGAACTCAACCAGGAGAAATGCCCCCAAATGAAGGAAATCTTTGAAGGTATTTTATCAATAGCCTATACCTTATTTTTTGAAAATCATGAAATTTATACCAGTGAATAATTTAAAATCACTTGGTCGTCTTTCCAGTCACGTTTTCAGCTTTAGAAAACTCATATTTCTGGATTTAGTTTTGTTTCCTAACCTGCTTATCATTTTCTTGTTACCTTTCAAATCCAGTTTGAATGTGGTTAACTCTAAGATGAGTGAATTATTCACACTGAATAATTTCACCCCCAAATTTTTCTCCCACCGCCTGGAGTCCAGCAATCATTGCGTCCCCACTGCGCATGCTGCCCTCCTGGGCATGCCTCTCCCTCTCAGGCACGTCAGCAGCATCTTGGGGCCACATTTTCCCTCCCTTTGATCTGCAAAGCTGCGCTTGCACCGGAACCACACCACTTAAATTGGTGTTAATTTAGTATCTTTTAACATCAGGTACAGTTGACTCCTTTGCTTTTGAAGATAACTTTTTCCTTTTCACAAAATCAACACTTTCTCCAGGCAAAAGTTTTACAGACACTAGAGGAGCAGAAAAAGTTAAGGTTTCCTCTACAAGTTAAGACTAATTCCAGCAACCAGTGACAACCATCATCAAATTATTGGAGCTGGCACTTCCAGATGTTTCTGAGGAAAGCGTGAGTGTACATAACATATTGTAATCTTTCATTGTGCCAAAACAAACTGTTAATAAGTTTCAAAATAAAAACAAGGCAGGCTTCGTGGTAGGTCGAATTCTAACATGGCCCCTGTGACCTTTGCCCCCTAATTTACTCCCCTGAAGGCAAACTGGAGATTGTCCAGGTGCATCCAATCTAATCACATAGCCCCTTGAAAGCAGATTGTTTTTCCCCAGCTGGTGGCCGAGGAGGAAATCAAAGAGATCTGAGTGCTGAGAAGAGCTGGGTGCAAAGTTGCTGGTTTGAACGTGGAGGGGGCTTCCAGCAGCAGAGAGCAGTGGCTGGCAGCCAGCCAGGAAGGGGGGACCTCGGAGCCACACCTGCAGGGAACGGAATTCTCCGACCACCTACGTGAGCTTGGAAAGGCTTCCTCCCCGAGCCTCCAGGCAGGAGCCCGTCGGCGCCACGGTTTCTGGCTGGGAGATCTTGAGCCGTCCACCAGCGCTCTCACTTAGAGAACGGCGAAATGATTGGTGGGTATTGTTTTAAGCCACTAAGTTTGTGGTGACTTGTTACACAGCAATAGCAAACTAATCTAGGCATTTCAACCTGTGAACAAGTTTTAAAGCCCTTTTATTACCTTTTTAATGGTGTGTTCAACATTAGAAAAGTCGTATTTAGGAATAATCCTGTGGATGTAGTTTATTTTCTTCACTCAGCCTCTGCAGAGGCCTCGCTCCATGGAAAGCCCTAGTTCTAGTCCTGGGCTGGGGTTAGGGGTCAGGCCCTGCGAGGCCCCAGTGTGTTCTGGGAAACGGGGTGACTCCCACCCCTGAAACTGCCCCAGACCCACCAGAGACCTGCTGAGACCTGGGGGTGTGGCAGCATCCCTCCTCCACCGGCATTCTTCCAGAGGGCGAGCCCTTGATCAGAAGGGCTGCATGTGACTGAGGGAGAGTGAGCCCCACATTCTGGTTTATTATCTTATCATCGTTCCAGTTTGCAAAGGGGGAAACTGAGGCTCAGAGAGGTTGTGGAACTTACCCAAGGAGAGCTCACAGAATGGGCAAGGGAGCCAGGATTCGGACCCAGCTCCGATGTGGACTCCTAGCCACTGCCTTCGCAGCTGAGGGGAAGGTGGACATTCCGCCCCAATCCTGCATGCAAGAATCCTGTGGGGCTTTGTAAATTCCTCAAGCCTGGACCTCAGTGCCAAAGATTCTGATTTTCTTTTCTTTTTATCCTCGCCCAAGGACATTTTTTCATTGCTTTTACAGAGAGAGAGAGGGAGAGAGAGAGCGGAAGGGAGAGAGAAAGGGAAAGAGAGAAACATCAATGCGAGACAGAAGCATCAATTGGTTGCCTCCCCTGTGCTCCAGGACTGGGGATCAAACCCACAACCCAGGCATGTGTCCTGACTAGGACTTGAACTTGCAGCCTGCAGCCCTTTGGTTATGGAACAACACTCCAACCAACTGAGCCACACTGGCCAGAGATTCTGCTTTTAATTGTCCTTAAGGGAGTCAGACCTCAGTAGTTTCAAAACCTCCCCAGGTGATGTTAACATTCTGTAACTCTGCCCTGTAAGAACCCCCTAGGGAACTTTGTTACCTGTGCACATGCCCACCTGTGAAAATCTGCTTCGGTTTGGGCCATGGGGGCAGGGAGGGCCAGCCCAGGAATTTGCACATTTCCCCCCTCCCTCTGTGCTTTTCAATCTTGTTGAAATGAAGAGTATGATGCAACAGGTCAGATGGAGCCTCAGATTCTGAATTTCAAAGAAGTTTCCAGGTGACACCAGTGCCACTGATCTTGGGGACACACTTTGCATGGTAAGTGTCCCAGCAGACTGGGAAGAACTGCCCTTCCCAGTCTTCCTAGATCCCTGTTTGCCTCAGTGTAGTCCCAGGACCAGCAGCATTGCCTGGAAGCTTGTTGGAAACAAAAATTGGGAGCCCCAGCCTGAGACCTACTGGATCAGGAACTTGAGGAGCATGGAGCCAGCAGTTTTAATAAGCCCCCCAGGTGACTCCAGGCAGGGGACAGTGTGAGAACCGTTATTAGAGGAAAGGGCCACATCTGCTGGGCCAGAGCCAGCAGAGAAAGGGTGTCTGGCTCCAGGCTCTGCTCTGGGCTCCACACCCCGGAGGCCAGGTCCCGCTGAGCAGGAAGCAGACGGGGCCCTGCCAGCCACATCTGGATCCCAGCAGGCTTGCTGCAGTTCCCTGACAGAGTCAGGGGCTGCCACGTTGGTATCATTATGCAGATATGCAAAAGGCAACATTCTTGGAGGAAAGCCATTGACTTTGGGGTTTTAATGAGATCTGGCTCAGCCTTCCCACCAGATGTCCATTTATTGGTTCACCAACAGCTGCCAGGGAGATGCAATACAGAGTTTGTCAGGGGGTTTTTGTTGTTGTTTTCTCAGTTTAATGCATCCGCTTCTGGAGCCCATACACTCATTTTTAGAAAGCAGTGGAATTTCCCTGGTCTGGGGAAATAGGGAAAGCTGGCATCTCCCTGAAAGGAGGGGAGTACAAGTATCACTTTGGACATTTCAGTATTTCAATAAATATGTATTGAATGCCCGTGTGTGCTAAGCACTGAGCCACACACTGGGGAGAGAAATGGTAATACCATTCATTATATTAATGAATGGCATGTTAACTAACATATGTACGTGTTAAAAGTTTTAACTTCCATGGCAGCAAGTCTTGTTGAAAGAAAGAGTATGTGCCCTGGCTGGTCAGTGGATTGAGTGCAGGCCTGAGAACAGAAAGGTCAGCAGATCAGGGCCCAGTCAGGTCACATATCTGGGTTGCAGGCCAGGTCCCCAGCTGGGGGCGTGGGAAAGGCAACTGATCGATGTTTGTCTCACACATCAGTGTTTCTCTCTTTCTCCCTGCCTTCCTGTCTCTTCAAAGGAGGTGAAGGTCCCCTTTCTCCTTTTCTGGAGAACAGGCCCAGCCCTCCAGTGCCCCACCCCAGGGCCGGGGAAGGTCACAGGAGGCTCTCAGTCAAAGCCTAGCTCCTCTGCTTGGCCCTGCGTGGAAGCTTTTAAAAACCAGGACATCAGCAAGATGAGCCAAAGATGCAGCAGGGTGCAGCCTCACCCAACCCGGAGGTCTCTGAATAGCTAAGGGATCTGGTAGTCACAGAAAAGACGAGAAGCTGATGCCGTGTTTCAAGTCTGAAACAAAGGCAGGACCAAAAGCCACCACCGATAGCAGGAAAGACAGAGCAGAGGAGAGTGAGTCTCCACTTCATCCTCTGCCAGAGAGATGTCTGTAGTTTCCCACCTGAGGATGGGGTGTCTCCAGCCATCCTCCCGAGATTCAGATTTAGGGATACAAGTGGTCTCAGGTCATCTCCGTACGCTCCTTGGGACCAGCTAGCTCCTGTATCCTGGTTTGACCCCAGTAGCGTTGAACGTTTCCTTGCTTTTTTTAATAATAGAAAATTGGAAAGGAAGGTCACTGCTGTGCAAAGAATGGACTAGAGGGTGGAAGAGAAAGCAGGAAGCCCAGCCGGATGCTGTCAAGGAGTCTAGGTGAAAGGCACAGTGGCCATGATAAGTGATTGGATTACTGATGCACTTTAGACGTAACAACAAAAGAACTTAGTGGACTGAATGTTGGGGAGTGAAGAAAAGAGGAAAATCAAAGACGGCAAGTGTCGGATATCCTGGCACCTTCTGCACTGAACTGTTAAGGAAGCAGGTGAAGAGCTTAGGGCCCATGCGTTTGTTACAGAACACAACAAGGCGGGGCCTGGGACGATATACTATTATTGAAAGAAGGCCCCGGGTCCGTTATGTCCGCCGCCCTAGGAAAGACGTCTCTCAACGCCAGAGATTCGTGAAAAGGAAAGGAAATGTTTATTTAATGCTATACTAACTTAAAGTAGTGACCTAATGTCTTTATCAAAAATCCTAAAGTCCTTAAACACCCACAAACAGGCACAGTCCTTCCTTCCTTCCCCCTTTGCCCAGTCCAGAGTACTGTATCTCAGGAAAAGAAATAGAAGTCCATGGCTCAGGCAGTCCTCTGGTTCTTAGTTAGTACTCCATCTCGACTGGGAGACCTCCCTGGGTTCCCGGCACCCTCAGCTGAGTCACCAGGATCTCTGCTAAAACCAGGTGGTGGTTCCCCCTTCTAAAGCTGTGGGGGTCCCCACTCTGGCACAGGCACGTGGTCCTCTCTCCCAGGGCCACGGGAGTCCCCACTCTGCCAGGCCGAGTGGTTCTCCCTCTCTCAGGGCTGCGGGAAGGGAGAGTCCCCACTCTGTCCAGGCCTCGTGGTTCTCCCTCTCTGGGATGCAAGAGTCTCCACTCTGCTAAAGACAAGTGGTTCTCCCTCAATGGCTGCCGTGTCTGGGTTTAAATCCCCCAAGCCAATCTTCTTCTGCAGCCCCATTTCCAACTCCTCCTACACTCGGCACACTTGCCCTCAATCTGCTGTCTTCTCCAGCTTTTCTGGTCGCCATCGTGGGTCTGGGCAGGTGTCACCCCATGTCATGGAGCCAGTCTTCTCCCAGATCCCACACAGGTGCTGTAACTCAGGGGACCTGCCTTCCAGGTCCCATCTTGGGGGAAGATCCCTTTCCATCCCCCTGGCCTTGAGCATGGCCATAGCTATTTAGCATATCTAAATGACCAGCCAAAGGCTATAGGTATGTTAAATGATCATGCCATGGATTAGCTGCAAAACTGCCCTGCGTGTTCTTGCTCTGTGTGCCCCTTCCCCCAACTCACACCTGTGGGGGAAGGGGTGAAGACACCTTAAAATCTCCTGGACACCTTGAGTTCTGGACCCCATTTCAAATGCCTATTTGGGGTCCCCCCTCTTGGCTGCACCCTGTAACACGTTGGCTTCGGTGGTGGGAAGGCGAGGAGATTCTGTGCTTCCGTGAACTCATATGAATTACAAGGCAGGGCCACCCACTGGGGAGGAGGTCTGAGGAGAGGAGCAATGAAATAGCCTCCCGAAAGTTCTTTACAAATGCAGATTCTGGCCACCACCCAGGATCCCGACTAGTCCTTCTGAGGCAGAGCCTGGGAATCCGAAGTTTTAACCAGATCCCTAGGGGTGGGGGGTGAGGGGGGATACCTGTGGGGGGGAGGGGTCCTCCTCCAAACTACAGCCAGAAGGGTTTATTGTTTGTCTTGTTTTACATTAAATAATCTGTGTTCTTTATGGAAAATTGGAAAAGAAGAGTTGGTCAAAATGTCAAGTTTAATCCCCACCCTCATCTCTGCTAACATCTCATCTTCAAAGCTAGGTCTAGCTCAAGTTTCCCCTCTTGTTTAGTTTCGTTTCTCTCTGGAAAGGTTCAAGGTCTCTGGCTCTGGGGTGGGGGCGGGGACGGGGTGGGGGGGTGCTCCTCTTTGTACGCAAAGACTGTTCTCTGCGCATTGGAGGCGCCTGTTTGCCGGCGGTTCGCTGCCGCCAGCCCCCTCTCAAGGTCCTGCGGCCGCTCACCTGGGAGCGGAGGGAGTGCGCGAACCTCCGAGGGCCCTCTCCGCTCCTGCCCG